TAGTATATATATATTATTATTATATATATATATATATATATATATATATATATATATATATATATATATATATATATGTATGCGCGGAAGATTCAACGGAAGGAACGACGCTACCGTCAAATATTCGTTCCTTGATTCGAATGCTATTAATGGAATTACAACGCTTTAGATCTCATGCGGAAGTATAAACGTCGCTCCTTCGCGTGTCGGAGCTCGAGTAAGGCTACGCAGTTAACTAATCCAGTAAAAAGCTTTCTCACCGCATTTCTCAATCTCTCTTTTATTGTTGATACAGCGCTGACGCTTCTCGACCTCTCACTCACGATCGCGCAAATCGATCGATTCGAGATTTCTTTGTTGAGAGTAATTCCGATAAAAATTTGTACCTGGTAAGAGAGATACATGCTGTTCTTCGTGAGTTTCGGTCATCTCGCTGCTACCGGAGAACTCTCCGGTCGAATGTCAAACGATCTCATCCTCATCAGTATCGAGGTATCGATTTCCCGTTTAACGTTTGATCGACAACGATTAATTAACGTAACGGCTTACCTACCTACCTCTCTCTCTCTCTCTCTCTCCCCCCTTCCTTTCTGTCTCTTTCTCTCACTCGGTCACATCTTAAGTTAATTATACGTGTTACCTTCGGGACATTACGCTAAAGCTATATTCCATTAATTAATTAAGGCGAGTAGCGTGGTCGGTTTAAATATGATTTCCCATTGGCGATCTTCGTTCGCGAGCACTCGCGTCGCTTCGTGTTTATATTCGTAGTAGAAGTTTGACAATTGTAAACCTGGAAGTTTCAGTCGCATAATTCACAATACAATGTGAAGTTTTCCGTTGGGCAAATATAGTTATATCTCTGTTTACCTCATCCTGCCAGAGATGATAAAAAGAGATTAATTTATTTGAAAAGTTAAAATAATAATAACAAACGCCAATTATAACGTAAGTAGAGATAAAAAGGATCTCGTACCAGGATTATAATAAATTTATAATAAAAAAAATATATAAATGATAAATAACACTCGTTTCCGAAGATCACTTTCAAACGCGTTATCATATTTCTAGAGATTTGTCCGCGTGCGTGAGAATCGTTTGCAATATCACTGTATCGAGCAGGCCTTCCTGGACTCCGGTCTTCCCGTTCTAAGCGTGATCCTGGATCCTGGTGTATTGTTCTCATTCCCAGCCGCGAGCGAGCACGTCTTCGTCCGCATGATCATTAAGTCCGTCCTTATGCTGGGACGACGTACGTTTGGTGCCACGACGCCGCAAGCGTCGCTCAGTCGACGTTTTATACTGAGGGTGGCTTTGTGTCGCGGCTGGAAAATAAAAGCGTCGCTTTTTTAGGCTTTTCAGCCGTGTCTCTCGATATCACGAAAGGTAATGCTCGTTTAATCGATCGCGACTCTCGGGCGGACAAGCATCGTGTCGTGCCATTCTTTATCGGGTTTAATCAGATTTTCCGCGATCGAGCTTCAGTTACAGAAACGGTTGATTAATTTCGAAGAAGCTAGGCTATAATGAATTACAGGACGCCGTACTGAACGCTATATTGAATATTGTTACGTACCTGCGATGGCGGCAACATGGTCGGCGAGCCAAAGGTGAGGGGTACTTTTCTGTGATGATTCGGAGCCATCTCCAGAGGTAGACCCGCTACTACGAATAACTGATAAAAAAGTTCGTCCACGTGATAGTTTCGCTTCGCGGAAGCCTCCACGAAGATACAGCACTCGTCCTGACTCACGCAATATTGCTCGGCCTCCTCTACCGTGACCGTCCTGTAAAGAGGACGAGAGAATTGTCAGTAAAATAATTACGTGGCTCGAAGACGCTCAATAACGACGTTGTTCGAGGGGACTAGAGTAGAGTGAACGGAAAACGTACTTTACATCCTTATCACATTTATTCCCCACGATGACCATAGGGACCTTCAGACTGTAGTGAGCCCTTCTGCTCTTCGTAGCACTTTGGGTCGCGCTCACTTTAGTCTCGAGAATCGCCTCTCTCAGCCTGATGGCTTCTTCGAAGGACTCCCGACAGTCCATGCTGAACACCACGACGAAGAGGTCCCCTGCGAAATCGGTTATCGTGTCGAAACTGATCGAACGTTGTATTTTTGATCGCGTGGCGAATATTTATTCTCAAAACGCCGAATCGTTAAATATTAATGTTACGAACACATACGAATCGAACGAATTATATATTTTCTCAGTCTCAGTTTATACGGCGACGCGGTTTTTCCGCGGCACGTGCGATAACACAGGAATTTTGAATTTTCCACCCTCTCTTTCTCCTCTCTTTCGAGCTCCTATCGCGCAACATCGATCGCAATTATTTCGAACCGGACGGAAGTCGCTGCACGCTGTTGCATACGGACTAATTATAACAGTCACGCGAGTCACATGCGCGCGACACGCGTGGATTATGAATATTTATCCTGACGGATTTATTTCTACGGCGGACAAGAGGCGCGGCCCTCGTGTATTTATAAATCCACCCTGACGACGTTGCAGTGGCGTAACGATTCCGGGTCTCGTCGCGTCTATGAGCGCGCTGTTACCGCGCTGTTTCCGACAAAAACGCGTCGCGAACAAAAGGGCAAGCAGGATCAACCGGCTGTTCTCGTAGACGAACAAAAAGCTCGTCCAATGAGAAACTCGACGAGTCGAGCGTATAGAACGTATAAGCTCGGTAATAACGTTGCTTTGCCAACACACCGCTTCACTTGGTTTTATTATCGCATATTCTCTCGCTTAAAAGATATCATCAAGTGTCGCACATAATAATAACAACGTTGTCATTAACCGCGCATTAATGGCATAAAGTCTAAACAGACCTCGGCTTTCTCATTTTGCCGTCAGAAATTTATCATCATTAACATATTATTATTATAAATTTAATAATTATAATTACTAATTAATAACATAATAATTATATATTATTATATGCCGTTAATAATTCCATTACTTTTATTTAGCTTATTAATTTTGTGAGACGCGATAAAATAATTTTATATATGCATTGAAAATATATATCCCTCTAATTATCGATCTGGTGACATAAAAAGATATGTTAGTCTTGCGTGTAAACTCTTCGACTTTTCTTTTTTCTATGAAGATATATCTATTACACAATCGGGTCACGAAATTGTAAACGCCGCTACTAGAAGTTTAAACATGTAAAATTTAATTAAACTACACGAGATATCTTCGTGATACGCTTCCGTGAAACCTTCCGCGTAACAAAATTTATTTTCCTCGCAAATATAATTCCTAAATTTCAAAGATGATCCATTTAGTTCACCCAGCTAATTCATTTAGTTCCACTTTGTCTTCACATATCGCGTTTCGCCGAGGAACTTGAAAGATTTGACCTCCATATTTCGAAAACCTTGTCGCCTCGCGGCTACCACATGGAGCACCGCGAGAGACATCTTATTCTCGCGAAACACGCCAGGCAGGCCCGATATTGTTCTCGCCGCGAGATGAAAATATATGTATGTCAGCCATTATGCGGCAAAGTTCGTGTCTTTGGTGTCGAAAGGAATTCTCTCTTCTCGCAACAGCCGGAGCCCCGTCCGGAGGCTCATTGTCTTCGAATCGGGGTCATATCGCGTTCCTCCGTGTTCAGAGGTAGACCGACAACGGATTCACGGCTCATGGAAACCTCTTCCACCGCTCTCAACGGTGTAAATCGATCTTAACCCTGCGCGTGATCGCATTTAACGAAAAAAAAAAAAAAAAAAAAAAACAAAACCCTACCTTTCATGACACGTTATTTACAGTTATATTTGATACATGTTTTATTAGAAAAATCAAGAAGGATCTGTAATTAACACTTGTTTACACTCGAAATGCCCGAGACGAGGATCGTTTGCGTGATGCCCGTGGCGCGATCGCTCGCGCACATTTTTATGCGCAAAATGTTTTCGGCAATCGGTCGATTTATGAATTATTAAGAGATCTCGGTGGGGCACCGAGAAAAATGCGAAACGCGTAACGTGACTCGCTCTGTCGAATGCGCGGAATTTCCGTCGGCACGAGCACCGAACGGAATACAAAACTAAACATGCCGCGATGAAATTCCCATCGACGGTGGCTCTCTTGATTTCCGCGCACACGGACGGCAATTTAAAAATTCTTCGGATTTACGTGTCTAATTTTATCGTGCGCTTCTACGCGAGGTCAACTTTACTGGCAACATGCGACGATACATTGCCGTTTGTAGGCGCATGTGGAGCAATAACTGAGAGGCGAATATCGGTTCTGTCCGATGCAATTTGTGCAACTCCGCTTAAAAATAGCGAATCGGGGTAGCCAGATCCCGGGAGCAAATTGTTACCAAAACTTTTCGATTGTGTACATTTCCGAAAGCGTTATTAAAAAAAACTTTTATACAATTATAAACGTTAACGAAATTTTTAATCATAAAATATTTTTATTACGTTATCAAGATAAAAATAAAAATAAAAATCTGTAATTAATCTATAATTGACAGTATAATAAAATCACTTGATGAACCCCCAATCATGAAATTAAATTAAATTAGCTTGTCAAATTTTTCGTATTTTAATGCCGCCAGGTGAGCATGTCGCGCTATACTATAATTCACTATTGTCTTGCCAGATAGTGTCGTTTTGGGAATTGCATACTACGCATAGATCATAACTTAGATTACGTTTCTGTATCGGTAGACGTGACGTTTGTACGTATATATGTCCAAGCGTAAATATGTATTTTCAGTTGGGAGGATCTGTCCTCCGTCTTGACAATCGCGATACTGATGCAATTGTCGCGCATCCGACAGCACGGTATACGATATCAGGTTATCGGGTACAGGTGATAACGCGACATGACGAGGGACAAGGGAGATCTACGTGCAAAATCAGCGGAGCACAAACGGTCTCGTGTGCCGCAGGGACAAAGCTACCGAGTGGTGAAAAGAAAAAGGAAAGTGGACGAAACTGAGTTATCGAGCGAACGTACCCCTCGTACGTTTCTTCCATTTCGTTTTCGCAAAATACAACGTCCTTCGATACTTTGTCGAGTTGCCACTTATCACCCTCTTATCCCTCGTTCCTCGGTTCTCGAATATTCTATTTTATCGTTTAACACCGTTGAATATCGTGACGATCATGAAGATTAATTAAAGTACTGAAGTGCCGTGCATTAATATATAAATGAAATTCAAGATCAATCATATTTAAGGAATTATATGTATTGTATACAGAGAGAGACTCAATTAGACAAATTAATAAGAACATTTACGCGAGCTTCAATCAATTTATATTATATTTTAGCTCATACTATTATCAAAAGGAGAAAAATAAAAAATAGTCAAACAGAAAAGAATAATGAATTGTGATTTAAAATATAATTCTTCATTTCAATAATTTTGATTTCTTTGATAAAATGTTTATACAGAACAACATAAACAAGGAAGGAATAATTCCTTCGATTCTGTTCTTTTAATTTTTCGAAAAATATATTTTAACGTTGAACATACAATTCTCGTTTAGATTTCTGTAAAATTTAATCGGAACCACATGATGCTATAATTTCGTATTTGAACTTTGAAGTTTCGTAACAGCCGACATTCACCCCGGACGGTCTACCCCGAACTTTTCCCGTGTGCACGACATAGTGAACTATTGGTGTCGAGGATTCCGACGAAAGTCGTGAAACTTACGAAGCGCGTGTCCGACGACAGAAACATTCGGTACGATCTTTTCCCATAATATCGGTACGGTTCGAGGCATTCTTTGGCCACGTCGAAAGAACGAAAGTTTCCTCGGCCGTCGAGGAGGATATTAAGATAAAAGTATGGTGTTAATCTTTAGATGAGCCGACGTTTCGTATGTACCGACCGGCTCTCTTGAATGCTTAAAGATTTACGAAACTGTATTCATGGAAAAAAAAAGAAGCGTCTGAGTCTTTATGACCTTTTTTTCCCGTTCTACCACAGTCTGCGGCGTTGTTCTCATACAAAATGCAACGCGGTGCATTTGCAACACGTCGACCGCTAACGTGCAATTTTTTACCCGCTCATACAAGAGTCAAATATCCATTAATTTTTCTTGAACCAATTTTTGCCGCGATAAAAGCGGAATGTCACTGTCGAGAATTAAATTTTCATATTCAACGGAAATGTGCGAATACTTTGCGGCACCTTGAACGCGATGTCTACTTGAAACGAAGCAGTGCATTTCTCGAGGGAGGTAAAGCCTTACCAGTCAGGAAAGACAATCGTCGCATCGCCGGAAACGGATGGTTTCCGCTTGTGTCTAGAAGATCAAGTTGATGAACCTCGCCTCTGATCCTGTAGAGTTTTCTGTGAAAATCTTCTATCGTCGGTGTGTAGCTCTCTTCGAATTTGTTGAATAGAAATCTGAAATGTAAAACGGCAGAGATTTTATCTACATGGACGCTTCTCGTCCATTTTGATTTCCACAATTTTTTAATCCATCTTTTTCGCTTGTTACTTTTTGGGTTTTAAATTTAAATACGTATCCGGTTCTAAAATTTTTTGTATCATCGACGTTAATTGAATAGTATTTGATAATTTCATTCTTTGTGTTCCACACGTTTCAGAAAAAGCATAAATAAAGCATTTCCGAAATTTAATTATGTATTTTCCGAAGATTCGAACCAATGAACGAGAATGATAAATACGAAGTTAATCATCACACCGACTGTTTAAAGAGACACATTTGTGGATGAGAAAATAAGCGTCTATCTCGATTTTTGAAATGGGCTCGTTGGTAGTCAGTGTCCGCTCGCATGAGCGAAAAACTCGCTTAACATGCAAGGGGAGTCTCGTAATTGCGGTCAATTTAGAATAGTAGACATAACTTCAAACCGACCGAACCGCAAATTTTCGACATTTCCCAAAACCGCGACATTAATCGACGCGCAATACCAGAGTGAGGAATTTTATCATTTCTTTAATAACTCGCGGTCATTCTCTGATTTCGTTCGACGATGAGAAAAGAAATACGAGTAGGTCACAATTTCAACAGCTCGATCCAATTTGGAAGAATTATGTTCCGTTTGTTCTTGGAGACACGAGGCGGCCGAGTTTTTCGATATCCTATCGCACGGTGGCAGCGATCGAGTAACAATAGCAAACACAATAATGCGGCACATAGTGGTGGAGCCAGTAGTGCGGTTCAAAGATTAATTGAATAACATTGTTTTCGCTATTAGTGATCGATCGGTGAAAGGGAGCACAACAGAATTTAGGAAATCGGAGCCCCGAAACACACGAAATATTGAAACATAGAACACCGATTGACTAAAATCATCCTTAATAGAAAACGTAGAAAACCTAAATAGAAGATATTTTAGTAAGCAAAAAATATAAAAAAATTTTGTATATCTTTATATAATACTACTTCTAAAAAAATTATTTAGGAAAATATAAGAAAATAATGTAATATCATATGTTTAATAAAATTGTGGTGATAAAATTTCTTATTAATATAGAAGGAAGATCGATGGATGATGATAGACAATCGTAAATGAAAAAAAAAAAAAAAAAAAAAATTTTAAAGCTAAACGTCGTGGCTTGTCAGTTTCAGGTGTTTACCGTGCTACAATGGCGGTCTTCCCAACCCGGGCACTGCCGAGCATAACGAGACGATAGCAGTTGCGCGGCGGCGGTTTGCAGGCGTCCTCCTGCGACGAGGTAGACGCGGGACTTGGACTGACGGGCATAGCGAGCATTCCATCCTCCGGGCCCGAGGGACCCTGACCCTCCACCAGCTCAGGCTCCGCTTTTGCTCCTCGCCGACCGCGAGCGTTGATCTTATGCTCGGCGGGTTCGTCGGTTGCACTTCTGCAGAGCCTCTGCACGCAGCACAGAAGTCGGCCGCACGCCTCCAGCTGCGGAAATTACACGCTCATGAATGTGACAATTAGCCCTTAATTCCGTAGTCCTTTTGTCACACTCTCGAGACACATATATCCTGTTGTATACCAAAGTTTCCCCATTCCCGTTTAATTAGTCGAAATGAGACAAACGCCATGAAAATAACCCGTATTTTATATAATTTATTGTTATACTTTACATAAAAATTTTTGCTCTGTTGTATGCTAAATATGTTTTTATGTATGTAGGGATTGAAAACTTTTTTGTAAACACAACACGTACGCTAACTAATGGTAGCGTAAAAAAATATTTCGATTGTTGAAGGATCAGTGTTGTTTGCATCTTTCTGGTTTTCAATATAAATTTAGACAGGTCATTTATATGAAATTTCAATGGAGTGTATCTCTCGTGAGAGAATGCAGGAAATTTCGGAAAATCCACTGTACTGGCTCTCGCTGTACCATAAACATCATATTTGTGCTTAAATAAAATGTTACATGATTCTTTGGGTACATTTCGCGCAACTCAACATACATGATATCTCCAGTATTTTTAAGCTTGAGTTTGTTTTCCAATAAATAAAAAGAACATCGATGTCCAGACATGCAGACGACATCGTATTCCCAAGAAATGGCAGAAGTACAGAAAGAATAGGATATTCGAGATCCAAGCATGAACGCACGGAGCACGAATCTCGATTGGATTTTCTTTGGAATTGATTCGTGGCGGAAGACTTCGACGAAAATACTTTTATTAAAGCGGCAAGAGAGAATAAAGAGAAGAGGCGAATGCTCCAGACACATTTTAGTGCGCGAGTGCTCTTAAATATTTCCCTTCCTCTCTGTTCCTCTTCTGATGTTGGAACATTGAAAAGTTACTTGTAACAACAATGACGGGAAAATTTGTTTTCCGGAGATTAAGAGAATATCAAATACGACCGTAAAACGTGATATTATCGGCATTTATACTTTTTTGAATACAGTCGCCTACAATTATGCAATTCTCGATAAGTCCATTGAATGTTACACGCTCGATATTCACATATTTTGCATCACATATTTCACGAAGTTTAACGAGAATGCTTGTCATATTGAAAAAGCTTAAAGGAGGCGTACTAAATAAACGTGAAGAACGTGGTAAGATATAGGTATCATGGGAATTGGAAGGTTCAGGTTCCTCAAATACGTTCAGGAATATTTTAAGATAAATTTGAAACGCATCCTCATATGCTCGCTGCATTACGCGAAGGACATATGCAGTAATTCCGCACAATTCGCTTAATTAAAAAATATTTTTCCCCATTTACTTTGCGTATATTTTTTTTTTAAATGGCACTGCAATAATAGAATATAAAATGGAAGTAAAAGACCATATTTTTATAATCAACTTTTTCATTAAAAAGAGACTTCAAGAGATGAATACTGTCAAGTGCAGTGGATAGAATTTATGAAAAACCATTATAAAGCTACATCATTAAGTATTATTTTATAATAAAGAAAAAAATGCAAATAATATTTTTTCGCTTTTTAAATCGATGCATGTTATAAAAAAGTAATGGACAGAATTTGCTGAAACTTTTATTTTTGTAGAATTTAAAATTGTACACTTTATATTTTTATATTTTCAAAACGTTTAGGACAATAACGTTGGATTTATTTTAGATGTAAAAGTCCACGTCTCTTTTGAATACTAATGCTCCTCGAATGTCTGTATCAAGAACAGCTTTATTTGCACTCAGGAAAAAGCGGTTCCACATACGATAATATTCTTCTTCGCGTTTCTTTGAAAAGTTTACTTCCCGACTTAGATATTCGCAGTCGCGACATGGTCGCAGAAACTGGCAGGATAATAGAAAACGTTATATCCTTACCATAATGCCGTGCATTTCTAACTTAGTCGCGTTGAATAGAGGTCTAATGATTGCAACGAAGCAGGTTCTGAATACCGCTTAACACCGCTTTACGCACGATAGTTCGAGAAGACCTATTAGGAAAGACAGAAACGTTGTTACTTCGTGAATGATACTAAAGCTACTTGAATCGTGTTATCTAAGATTTCCCTTTAGAGGAGAGAAAATTAAGTATAAGGCTTTATATTTATCAAAGGCTAAAATTTTCATGCCGCTAAATTAAATATAAATATTAACGCTATTCTCGTTTCTAAATAATTTTTCACAAATAATATTCGATATTCTATCTATAAAATGTATTTTCCCGATTTTAAAACTCTAAAAATTCATTATCGCACAAATCGTCCGATCTCAATTAATTAATTTTTATTTCGTATTTGAAACCCGTATATAAATAAAAAAAATTCGCGAAGAGCGACACGAATCGTTGAACGGAGAATCTTCGTGGACGCGTTTTGTTGAAAAATACATGAAGTAAACTTGATGCTCGTCGTCATCGTTGCTCGGCAAATTTACCTCCTGGACAAGGCAGCGTGCCGCTTCGTGCATCTCGGTTTCGAGACGATACGCAAGAGGTGAGGCTTTATAAATATTTAAATGGGACACCTGATGCCCGCGTGCCGAGGGTGTGGGCAGCAATTATTAAAGCCTCCATTAAAATACGCCGCACGTGTTGCTTTCTTTGCTCTCTTTCTCGCTCCTTCTCCTTTCAGCCTCTTCAGGCTATACAGTAACCCATTTCGAATGAAATTGAATGTACGCCGCGTTTCATCTTTGCCATGTCCCATGACGGTAACTATTATGACTTCGATATACTTCTTGTCGTTTAGCAAATAGCAATATAAATCGTATCGACTGGTCGAGGAACGTCCGTTTTGTCTTTATCGCGAACATCGACCGAGCTCCTACTCGCAATATTTAGGCCACTAAACGCGTCGCTCGACTCTTAAATCTTCTAGCAAGATCGCAATTACTGACCGCAATTGTTTCAGTGTCGAGGGCTATTGTTATCCCGATAATGGTTTATTTCTGTTCTGTGTCGGAGGGAAAACGGGGTTACGTTTTTTCGTCGCGTTAGCTATAAATGTGTGCGAAAAGCAAAATACCAGAAAGCTTTTGACGTATAGATCTTCGGATCGTTTCCCGCGTCATGTTTTACTTCCGCGCGAGTGCGACGAGAGAGTGTTATTCGTCTCGCGATACATGTCTCAGTGATATCGACATTTTCTGCACTTTCATTCGCGTATCTTTTTTCCCCCTCGCCGTGCAAATATCTCTCAAAATAAAAGTCGAACGTGACCCTCTTATTCTATTTTTAGGATTTATGAACAGTTTGAGCAAAGTCGGTTAACTTTAATCTCGGAGAGATCTACTACATCTTTATTTTCTTTTAGAATTAGATCCAGTACATAGGAAATCAAGATTTATACTTCCTGCCTATTTTTGCGCGAATTTTTCCAGAAAGATATTTCCGTTAAACTAGGATTTACCTTTCATTATTCCGAATCCTTGCTTTTTTTGCTGAAAAATAAGCAAATGAACACGTTGGTTTTCGCCAAATCGTGAAAGCTACGAAAGCACGAATTAACGTGCCGCGATATTCACACGCGTGAACATGGTGGTGCAACTAACTGCAAGCTGAACTATTTGCAATTTTCGATCGTGTTGATTTTCATTTTAATTCCTCGACCTCTATTGAAAATAGTAACGATTCACATAGGAAGTAGTAACGGTCTGCTTACAGTCTCTCAGACCATGAATATTGTAAATGGTAATAGGCAGCCTTTGATGGCACTGAGATAGAAACCACGTTAAACTGCGGAGACTAAATGTAAATGCAGATGTTAGAGGTCGTATCATTATCCCTTATCTACTCCTTCCCTGATAATTGCTTCGATCGAAGGTATACAGATTCGATCTACTTTATCTCGATCGATGCATCACTCGCATACTTTCACCGACAACAAGTAGAAATTTCGCCCAAGAGTCAGTCAGCAAAGCGTGCGGATTCCTATTACAACTTCCTCAGAAAAGATTAAATTAAAAGATAACGCCATAGATCTCGCTCCCATCACGTTAAAAAAGAAAATCGGTTTCTAACGCTTAATAAGGTCATACGTCCCGGGGAAACACGTTGCATTTACGAAGCTGAAATTCCTTTTCTCGTTTACATTTTATGTTTATCGCGTCCTCTTGCGCGATCGCGATGTGGCACAAATGTGAGAAAAATGAGCAACAAATACCTACACGTTGTGCGTGTGCTATTGATTTTACGATTGCGCGCTACGACAAAGCTCTCGTCGGCACGCGAGGCTTTGAGAAACATTGATCTCTTAACGCTAGCGACCGAAGCAGGTTTTGATACAATCGAGCAACAAGGTACATCGGTTGTTTACGGACCGTACCAGCGACATCGGCAATCGGATTATCACGGCGCTGCTCGGCGGGATACGACGTATTCGACAAAGGCATCGGACAAAGTTCCGAGTGTATCGCGGAGCGTTATCCTCTTAATGCCCACGCGGCTTAATCACACTAAGCGGATTTCGTCCGTCAACGCTGGCTAAACATCCGTTTAACGATTCGGTGACATAATATTTTCTGGGCGAGCGACCGGCCGAGCATGGCCTCCGTATAGATAGATTTATATCGGAGGCTTAACGAAACTTACGGCGATACGCCATTATTACCTCGTTTCCGAAGCGGTCGATTATGCGCGACACAATGTGTTTATCGCCGCAATAGCACAGAACAAACGAATGGAAAGATTCTCCTGTCCCCTGTGTATTTGCATTTGCGATCGCTCGCCCCGCATTTATAAATCGCTTTCGCGTCGCGGGTCGCATGTATCATCCGCGCGTTTTTGCGATATACTTATTTTGACTTAACTACTATGTAACGCTTCATTCGATAAACGATTATAGTACGATATATACCATTGGCGATATCGATATTTAATTTACTCGTTAATCGTTGCCGCGTATTTCATTCGTTCGATTTGGCACGCGATTAAAAACTTGCCGCACGCGCGCGCGCGCGCGCGCGCGCGCCGCACCGCCCTCCGATAATCCACGTCGCGACGCGAGAGCAGTGATATTATGAATC